ATTATGTTATATACATCACAGTCAAAGTCATTCAACTGCTTGAACCGCAAATTCACTAGAAATTTGAATGCGATGAAAATTCCTTGAAAATTCACCCTATCTAATAGAAAACTTATAAAAGCAACGATGGAGCTTGACTCAGAAACATTTTATATAAAGATCTGGTGAATTTTTGTGAATTTTTCTTTGCGTTTAAACTTCTAGTGAATTCAGCCGAAAATATTCCTTTTGTAGGTGCAATGCTAATTATTATGACAGTTGCTTCGTAATTGGTATTCTGATGTCTGGGTAATGGAATAAAAGATGGCTAAGCTGAACTTGAGTAATAAAATGTATTGTTATCTTTCTTGTCATAATTCTGGACTTGCGTGAGTTTTGGCATTTGTTTGTGTTGTGAGTGACTTATGTACAAATACTGAACTGTCGGTGATGGGCTCTATATCTCATATTATCCTCACTAGATCTCGCGTATTTTGTATCTAATTGTTAAGGATCTTGGTGTTTTTGAACAACACTAATGAGCTGCCGCGTCAGGGTCAAAAGTAAAGCGGCCGCGTCAGGGTCAAAAGTAAAGCGGCCGCGTCAGGGTCAAAAGTAAAGCGGCCTCGTCAGGGTCAGGGCTACAGTAAATATGTTGTATTACAATGAGGAATTATTAGAATGATTACATGGATAATGTTGTGTTTCATTTAATATAGCTGCAACACAATGCAGAAACGTTAAACATATGATTTTTATATTATTCATTGTACATGTATTACAATGCAGAATCATTAAGATGTATGATTTTGTATCATTTAATATACTTGCACCACAATCCAGGAACATTAAATGCATGATGCTTTATATCAATGATTGTACATGTATTACAATGCAGAATCATTAAGATGTATGATTTTGTATCATTTAATATACTTGCACCACAATGCAGAATCATTAGATGTATGATTTCGTAATATTTAATATACATGCACCGCAATGCAAAAACATTAAATGTGTGATGTTTTATATCATTTAATATATCCGCACCGCAATGCAGCAACATTAAATGTATGTTTTATATCATTAATAACCCGTATTACAATACAGATCAATTATAAGTCGCTTGTCCCACAGACCGGCCATAAGGCACCAGTGTGGCAGGAGACGCTGTGTCGCAGCATCATGTTTTATATCATTAATAACCCGTATTACAATACAGATCAATTATATGTCGCTTGTCCCACAGACCGGCCATAAGGCACCAGTGTGGCAGGAGACGCTGTGTCGCAGCATCATGTTTTATATCATTAANCTCAGCTCCCTCCATCCCTCAGCTCCCTCCATCCCTCAGCTCCCTCCATCCCTCAGCTCCCTCCATCCCTCAGCTCCCTCCATCCCTCAGCTCCCTCCATCCCTCAGCTCCCTCCATCCCTCAGCTCCCTCCATCCCTCAGCTCCCTCCATCCCTCAGCTCCCTCCATCCCTCAGCTCCCTCCATCCCTCAGCTCCCTCCATCCCTCAGCTCCCTCCATCCCTCAGCTCCCTCCATCCCTCAGTTCCCTCCATCCCTCAGCTCCCTCCATCCCTCAGTTCCCTCCATCCCTCAGCTCCCTCCGTCCCTCAGCTCCCTCTGTCCCTCAGCTCCCTCCACCCCTCCATCCCTCACTCCCTCCATCCCTCAGCATGCTGCGAGCTCATATGGAGCTGCCCTGAGCTGACTCACGCCGACGTCGCAGAGCAGATCAGCGAGGAGCTCAGCGCCGCTAGCGGCCACGACGCCAACACCACCGTCCTGGCCTCCGTCACCCTCGCCTACTACCACTTCTGTCAGGGACAGGTGGGTGCCTCTGTCAGGGAAAGGTGGGTGCTGCCTCCGTCACCCTCGCCTACTACCACTTCTGTCAGGGACAGGTGAACCGGCCATAAGGCACCAGTGTGGCAGGAGACGCTGTGTCGCAGCATCATGTTTTATATCATTAATAACCCGTATTACACTACAGATCAATTATAAGTCGCTTGTCCCACAGACCGGCCATACGGCACCGGTGTGGCAGGAGACGCTGTGTCGCACCATCATGTTTTATATCATTAATAGCACCCGTATTACACTACAGATCAATTATATGTCGCTTGTCCCACAGACCGGCCATAAGGCACCAGTATGGCAGGAGACGCTGTGTCGCACCATCATGTTTTATATCATTAATAGCACCCGTATTACAATACAGATCAATTATATGTCGCTTGTCCCACAGACCGGCCATAAGGCACCAGTATGGCAGGAGACGCTGTGTCGCACCATCATAACCCGTATTACAATACAGATCAATTATAAGTCGCTTGTCCCACAGACCGGCCATAAGGCACCAGTGTGGCAGGAGACGCTGTGTCGCAGCATCGCTGCGGTTGGTCACTACAGCGCGCTGCACGGCCGCACCCTCGCCGCCCTGCACAGCTGGCGTCTGCTGCTGCACTTCTCTGCTGCACAGCCTCTGCTGCGCCAATATAAACTTAAAGGTGAACTGCCATAATAGTCACTCTATGTTATTCATTAAATTCACTTGGTTATCGGTCTACTAATTAAATTGAAAGAAAATTTCTTTTCAAATACGTTACCGAAGATCATGGGTTCAGCATTAAGATCAAAATCAGCTCCCTCCATTCCTCAGCTCCCTCCATCCCTCACCTCTTCCATCCCTCAGCTCCCTCAGCTCCCTCTATCCCTCACCTCCTCCATCCCTCACCTCCTCCATCCCTCACCTCCCTCTATCCCTCAGCTCCCTCCATCCCTCAGCTCTCTCTGTCCCTCAGCTCCCTCTATCCCTCAGCTCCCTCTGTCCCTCAGCTCCCTCTGCCCTCAGCTCCCTCTGTCCCTCAGCTCCATTCATCCCTCAGCTCCCTCTGTCCCTCAGCTCCCTCTGTCCCTCAGCTCCCTCCATCCCTCAGCTCCCTCCGTCCCTTAGCTCCCTCCATCCCTCAGCTCCCTCCATCCCTCAGCTCCCTCCATCCCTCAGCTCCCTCCATCCCTCAGCTCCCTCCATCCCTCAGTTCCCTCCATCCCTCAGTTCCCTCCATCCCTCAGCTCCCTCCATCCCTCAGTTCCCTCCATCCCTCAGCTCCCTCTGCCCCTCAGCTCCCTCTGTCCCTCAGCTCCCTCCGTCCCTNTTTCATTCTTCAAATTAAACACTTAATTCGGAATGATACAAATTTATCATAAATTTTATCCAAAATATCTGAAACAGCTCAAGGTGATTACTTTTACTTTTGTTTATATGCCTGAACAAGAGCAATGAAACTGGTCCTCTAGCAGGTCCACACCGAACCTGTAACCAGCAATGCTTTACGTGCAGGTCGCCGTGGCTCAGATCGCTGCACGCTCAGCCATCGCTCTCACCCACACCTTGGTTGATGCTCCAGGTGAGACATTTCATGTCTTAATATCATACTACTTTATTTGCTTATTTCAGTTTCATTTTGTTTCTGGTCACTCATATTTCTAAAATTGTTTGTGTGGTTGTGCTTGGCTCTAAGATCATACTTTATTTGCTTATTTCAGTTTCATTTGGTTTCTTTTTAGCCACTCATATTGTTCGAGTGATTGTGTTTGGCTTTATTTTCCTGAATTAATTTAGAGTAGTTTAATTCCTGAATTGGTTTAGAATACGCAGAGTGTAAATCAGTTGCTGAAATAATGAAGTAGTACACGATGAGAGATCAATTGTAGTAATTCTCTTGGTGTTTATTGCTTGTTAGCACATGAGGCCTTCGTGGCATGTAACTGTATTGGCTCAACATTTGTAAGTTTATCTGGCTGAGTCACAGCCAGTCACTACAGTTAAACTGTTTATGTAAATGAACGTCAGATTGCACGTATAATTCCACTCTTCTTCGCAACACTTATACAATTTTAGTGGCTGTCACTCTTGCATGTTTGAATCATTTTTACTCGTTTATTCTTACTTGCTCTAATTATCTTGGACTTTTTCATGTAATTGATATTTCGAGGGTTATGCTATTCGTTCATTTCCATTATATTCCACCATTATCACTTGTCCAACTTCTCTATCCCATCTTTTGGAAGTTTTTTTTTGTCTTCCCCCAACATTTGTTTGTGTGTCACTTGGTTCTGATTGTCTAAATATCTGTCTAAACCGATTTGAAGTTAGAATGGCAACTAAATATATTTCCTAATAACCTGGTATTACATTTCAATATACCACAAATGTTACTTTGTTCCAATAGAACCTTGTGGTTATTTAGCAATCATCTCAGAACAACAAAATTATCTTTTAATATAATTAACAATATCAGATTAGAACAATAAAATTGTTTTTCATTATAATTAACAATTTCAGCTGAGAACAACACAATTATCTTGTATCATGTCTGAAGTGGATGTCTTGCCACAGATGTGTACTGTCATGTCTGAAGTGGATGTCTTGCCACAGATGTCTACTGTCATGTCTGAAGTGTATGTCTTGCTCCAGATGTCTACTGGCGCTGGCGCATACCGTGGCTACATCACCTGACGTGCGCATGGCTGGCGCGCCTGTCGCTGCTCACCGCGCAGCCTCGTCTCATGCCTCTGTCAGGGACAGGTGGGTGCTGCTTCTGTCAGGGACAGGTGGGTGCCTCTGTCAGGGACAGGTGAGCGGCTGGTCCAGACTTGGGTGGGTGAAGTAACCATCACGTAGAGCGGGTTAGTTTGAAGGTAATCGTACTTTTAAGTTCTGGGTAGAAGATGTGCAGAACGTCAAGTGAATAGAAACGTTAGGTGTCCATCAGTTAGTTGTACGGTGAGTGTGGAGCGGGCGAGTGGGTGAAGTGACTGTCAATTGTATGGTGAGTGATATGTTGCTGCTGCACCACCCGATATGTTGCTGCTGCACCACCCCCCAACTACTGCCAGTCATGAATGTTGTGCCCTCAGCTTATCAATTGTATGTTGAGTGATATGTTGCTGCTGCACCACCCGATATGTTGCTGCTGCACCACCCCCCAACTACTGCCAGTCATGAATGTTGTGCCCTCAGCTGAGTGAACTACTGCCAGTTACTCATGAATGTTGTGCCCTCAGCTGAGTGAGGGGTGGCCACTGCTGCAGTGCGCGCTACGTCACGACGTCGTGGCCACCAAGAAGACGCCCAACGCTACCATCGTGCAGTGCCTCGCCCACTACACGGCCTCCCTCTACAGCCTTCTGCCTCACCACCTTCAGGCCGCCTCTCCTCCCCTCAACCCGGTCAGTTGCACATCACTCTTGACGTACAAAACATATGCTATTATTATTATGAACAAGATTCGTGTCCTAAACTGAACTAGCCAGTTCCGCTAATCTCCAATGCGTGCCTGACACAATTTCCTTTTGCCGCTTACTCCGCAGACATGCGTCTCTCTTCTGAAGACTCTAATGTAGAATATCATATAAAGTCAATCCCTGAATATTGAATTATTCATTTTACATTACTACGAACTTATAAAAACGAAAATTATTATTATTTCATTCTTCAAATTAAACACTTAATTCGGAATGATACAAATTTATCATAAATTTTATCCAAAATATCTGAAACAATTCAAGGTGATTACTTTTACTTTTGTTTATATGCCTGAACAAGAGCAATGAAACTGGTCCTCTAGCAGGTCCACACCGAACCTGTAACCAGCAATGCTTTACGTGCAGGTCGCCGTGGCTCAGATCGCTGCACGCTCAGCCATCGCTCTCACCCACACCTTGGTTGATGCTCCAGGTGAGACATTTCATGTCTTAACATCATACTACTTTATTTGCTTATTTCAGTTTCATTTTGTTTCTGGTCACTCATATTTCTAAAATTGTTTGTGTGGTTGTGCTTGGCTCTAAGATCATACTTTATTTGCTTATTTCAGTTTCATTTGGTTTCTTTTTAGCCACTCATATTGTTCGAGTGATTGTGTTTGGCTTTATTTTCCTGAGTTAATTTAGAGTAGTTTAATTCCTGAATTAGTTTAGAATACGCAGAGTGTAAATCAGTTGCTGAAATAATGAAGTAGTACACGATGAGAGATCAATTGTAGTAATTCTCTTGGTGTTTATTGCTTGTTAGCACATGAGGCCTTCGTGGCATGTAACTGTATTGTCTCAACATTTTTAAGTTTATCTGGCTGAGTCACGGCCATTCACTACAGTTAAACTGTTTATGTAAATGTATGTTTAATGTATGTAAATGTATGTTTATCTAAATGTATGTAAATGTATGTTTATGTAAATGTATGTAAATGTATGTTTATGTAAATGTATTATGTACATGAACATCAGATTGCACGTATAATTCCACTCTTCTTCGCAACACTTATACAATTTTAGTGGCTGTCACTCTTGCATGTTTGAATCATTTTTACTCGTTTATTCTTACTTGCTCTAATTATCTTGGACTTTTTCATGTAATTGATATTTCGAGGGAACTGTCTCACCAGTACATAAGGCAGGTAGTCTCAGTGGTAATAAATTAGCGACGTGCTGTCGCCCTCATGCGTTGCTCAATAATTCACTTGGATTGGATTATCCGTCCCTTCGCCTGCCCATGAATGTTTGGTGAGCTTCCAACAACATCCGGGTAACTTGCTCCTAGTTTAACATGATGTCCTGAGAATTAAAGTTCACTATGAACAGGTAAGAGTTTATATTGCTCTCAGGTCGCAACGGTATAAACGCGCGTAGACCTGTTCGTCATTTTAGTGGCAGAGAAACTGTTCAGATATTTCTAGGCTTATGAGTGAAATACCTACCACTAATGTCGTACTAATTTGCTATCCAAAGTAGTTTTTATTAGTTGATGTGTGGTCAACAGGGCCGCAATTGCCATCTCCCTACTGGCGGAGGTTGACCTGCTGTGCGAGCAGCACGACGACTGCCGCGTGAAGTTGGACACGCTCCTGCAGCTGTTGTCGTCGCGGCAGCCCAGCGCAGTGCAGGCCCTCGACTTCAGCCCTGAAGCCGCCGGGGTCTTGACTCCTAAGACCACCAACAAGCCTTGCCAGGACGCTGTGCCTCTAGCCTGCGGCTTCACCATGAAGAAAATCAGCCGCAAGCATGGCTCTAGGGGCGAAAAAGAGAACTCATTTGTAGATGCCCTCTCAGACTCTGTGTCCAATATGCGCATAGAAGCCATGAGACAGGCTGGGCCTAGAGACGATGTCGCATCTCCGTGTGTTGACAGCAGCAATGACGACTTTGTTATTTCTGACGCTCAAAACAAAATTGGCTCGCATTGGCTTGCTATCAAGTCACGCCTCAAGTTTCTTAGTCAAGCAAGCACTAAGTTGGGCCGCTACAAACTTGATACTGAGAAGTCTACCTGCCCAGGATCACCGTCTCTTGAACACAGAGAAACTGCCCTAAAGTTGCCGCTCTGGTCAAGTCCTGCGAACAACAACAGTGAACATGAAGCCAATAGAGAAGAAGAAGACGTGTCGAGCAATAGTTTGCTGCAGGCCTACTTCCCCGGGCTGTGCGAGGTCTACCTCAGCGTGGGGGCTATGCTAGCCAGCCTACACAGACTAGGCTCTCGGTGGCAGGCGGCTCAGGACACCATTGACACTGTGAGTTGGCACTGAGCTTCTCGTGCTCTTTATTTCAATATTATTAACTTTTGAACTTTGTTTGGTTTCTTCGTTGGATTTGCAGAGTTTATTTTATTCACCTTGTAACTAAGGAGATTCAGAGTCCCTCCAAGAAATTGTTTCGCCTGTGGCTGATGCGGATCAGTATTGCCATTATTTACTGGATATTAATTCATACCAAGAAAGCTATATGACTATTAAATGGAAGAGATGAAGGTAGAGATACATGTTCAAAACATTAATAAATATGATTAAATGCTCTTTAATTGATCACACGGCGCACAATTTTTTTTGTGTAGATAATATTCAATTCACATTTTATATCCAGCCAGTTGTTAGGAAACATTAGTAATGTTTGCCGTGTTCCCGAAGGTCTGCCGTGCTCATGACGTGATGCAGCAGACAGCGCAGCAGCAGTGCCGGCACATTTACGACGTGTTGGGGTCTGCTGGCTACACTCCTGCCGACGCCCAGCGATGTGGCGTGTACGCCACCAACACCTTACTTGTGGTGCGGTCACGGCACGAGCTATACACTTACAGTGATCATATACATCACCAACGCCTTACTTGTGGTGCGGTCACGGCACGAGCCATACACTTACAGTGATCAGAAATATATTCAGTTTTATCATCAGTTCAACAAATGTTCCCACGTAGCATTCATTATTACAGTTTTAATAGACTCGTTGAATATAATTGAGAGAAGACAACGATTTTACGTAGTAAAGCCATTATTTTTTAAATAATAGGTGCAATTGCATAAAAATTAATTTTATGTTTGATTTTGAGGTTATATGTAATTGCTAGGCAATTTCAGGGCTCATCTACACGTGTTTCTCGAAATTGTTTCACTGTTCCTTTAGTTCTCGAACAGGCAGTTTTCATTTTGACATTTAATTTCATATTGTTTTATTTATAAAGAATATTTATTGAAGACACTTGTTAATGTTGATGTTGGTGCAGGGTTGGTGCAGCGTGCAACAGTCTGCCGTGCAGCTACTGGTCGCCCGTGATCGCTGGACAGAAGCATCGCAGCTCTGCAACTCTGCCATCGAATCTGCAACAGCTCTGCCTGTAGAGGTTAGCTGCTCTGCAACAGCTCTGCCCGTAGAGGTTAGCTGCTCTGCAACAGCTCTGCCTGTAGAGGTTAGCTGCTCTGCAACAGCTCTGCCTGTAGAGGTTAGCTGCTCTGCAACAGCTCTGCCTGTAGAGGTTAGCTGCTCTGCAACAGCTCTGCCCGNCCCCTCCACCAACCATAGTGAACCCCTCCACCAACCATAGTGAACCCCTCCACCAACCATAGTGAACCCCTCCACCAACCATAGTGAACCCCTCCACCAACCATAGTGAACCCCTCCACCAACCATAGTGAACCCCTCCACCAACCATAGTGAACCCCTCCACCAACCATAGTGAACCCCTCCACCAACCATAGTGAACCCCTCCACCAACCATAGTGAACCCCTCCACCAACCATAGTGAACCCCTCCACCAACCATAGTGAACCCCTCCACCAACCATAGTAAACCCCTCCACCCACCATAGTGAACCCCTCCACCAACCATAGTGAACCCCTCCACCAACCATAGTGAACCCCTCCACCAACCATAGTGAACCCCTCCACCAACCACAGTGAGTGAACCCTTCCACCAACCACAGTGAACCCCTCCACCAACCATAGTGAACCCCTCCACCAACCATAGTGAACCCCTCCACCAACCATAGTGAACCCCTCCAGCAACCAACATTTCCCCTGTCTGCGTAATCCAAAAGCCTGACTAACGTAAATTTTACTTACTTTATAGGCATGCCATAAATGCAGCTCCAAAAATATTCATGTTTCGCATTACTGAGTTGGGAACTTTATCTCGTAATAATGGACTGTGTACAATGGGGCTATCACAGTTTTTTTTGTAAATGTTCTAGATTTTCGTAGACAAAAGAAAAGATAAATAGACATTAAGGGAAGATGTCAAAAACATCTACATTAAACAGGTTCATTAATTAATACTAGGCCCGAAAAATGACAATATTGGTGGATGTATCTTGGATGTGTGTCAATTGTTATATACGCTTTTATATTAACCCAATCCATGATTGGAGACAAGTTCATCTACAATCTCATGCGATTCAGAATTGATTTTATTTATGAATAAGGTTAATTAGTTTTATTTATGAATAAGGTTAACTAGTTTTACTTATGAATAAGGTTAATTAGTTTTACTTATGAATAAGGTTAATTAGTTTTATTTAAGAATAAGTTTAATCGGTGTCAATTGTAATACTAGAATGCCATGCCTACAGAGCGTGCAGCGGCACCACTGCCACCTGTTGCCCCTACTGCAGCAGGCGCGTCACCTCGTCAACGCCTGCAACTACCTGGCCAACAGGACCAGAGGTGACCGCTGCTACTGGCTTACCTACGTCGTGCTGTACTCTCCCTACCTAACTTACGTGACGCTGTACTCTCCCTACCTAACTTACGTGACGCTGTACTCTCCCTACCTAACTTACGTGACGCTATACTCCCCCTCGACCTGCCCGTGATGCTATACCCCCCCCCCCTCCATATAGCACTAATGTTTGCGGTTGTCTCTGCCGTTATTTGTGATGTTTGTGTCTCACCAGACGCCGAACTTGAAGCGCTAACATCTTTATCTTTGCTCCTTCTTCCATTAGCGCTTGTGTATTTTAAACATTTTCTTTATGGAGGTGTTTTTTTTCTCTTAACAACTCGGTTTCCATTAAATGTGATCCATCAAATTAAAAACTGATTGAAATGATACAATTTTGGCCGTTGAGTTTCATCTTGAAAGCTCGGCGATGTCTCGTGTCATAATAAATGCAAAGAGACTAATGTTTCTTCTGCATGTGATCACTTCGAAAACATGCTGTGTTTATTTAATATCTCGTCTGGTCGCTTTTTTATGCCTTCTATTTTAGTTTCGGATCACAATTCTAAATTGATTGTGTACAATTTCAAACATTCTATTTATAATTTTCAAAAATTATGCCTATTTTTTGGAAAATTCATTACATTTAAAATATAAACATAGATTCAACTGTCAAGTTTCCCGTGCTAATTATCGTCATTGTTCAGGGGGAAGTCCATCTCTGCGGATTCCCCTGGGGAGCCCCGTGCCGTGCCCCACGGTGGGGGTGATCACGCCCCGCCAGTCCCCCACCCGCTCCTCGGACCCTCCTCCTCTCCATCGTGGGCCTCTGAACTACCCACGGTCCCCCAGACGCAGGCACATGTCCTCCGACTCTGATGAAGACACTGTAAGCCTCAGCAACCTGAGTAACGAAACAGCGCCTCTACAATTAAAAAATAAGCTGAATAACTTGTCACATGCAGATGATGAACCCAAAGTCCGGGGTCGAAGTTACAGGAAAAATGATATAAAAGCTTATGGGAGTCGTGCAGAGAAAAGCTTTGATGCTAGTAAGGGATCTCAAGCGTCTGTAGGCAAGAGAAAACTCATCCCACCTAAAATTATTGTCATACCAGAATCACTTGAAACAAATCCCTCTGTGGCATCATGCGAGAAAGACAAAGAAATGGAAGATTGCAAATTTAATCTCTTGTCTGCAAAGCAGAAAATTTATAACTTGTGTTTTAGTGACAAAAGTAGTGATAAAAGTGATGGTGTTTCTTCTGAAGAAGCGTCATTACTTCCTCTGAACGATGCTAATGTAAAAAAATCTAGCTTACGTCTCCTTCGTGCCAATGCCGGCAGTGCTGCAAACTGTCCCACGACTAAAACAAACGAAATGAAAAAGAACAAGTTGACCACCAAGAAGATTCCCGACTCTAATTCCTGTGTCCAGCCACGTAGAACTAGAGCAAAAAATAAAGACGGTTCTGACGTAGAAAATATAAGTGAGAAGAAAGTGGTGGCCAAAAGAGCGCCTAGAAGCACCGCTGAGACGACGAGAGATGAGAGATCAGAGGCCGCCACTGCCAGGAGAACTAGAACTGCAATGCGCCAAGTGGTCAGCTGATGTCAGCTGACGGCAGTAGGTCTCAATATGCTAGCTGATGTCAGCTGTCTTTAGTAGGTCTCAACTCGTCAGCTGATGTCAGCTGTCTGTAGTAGGTCTCAACTCATCAGCTGATGTCAGCAGACGACTGTAGGTCTCAACTCGTCAGCTGTCTGCAGTAGGTCTCAACTCGTCAGCTGATGTCAGCTGTTTGCAGTAGGTCTCAACTCGTCAGCTGATGTCAGCTGTTTGCAGTAGGTCTCAACTCGTCAGCTGATGTCAGCTGTTTGCAGTAGGTCTCAACTCATCAGCTGATGTCAGCTGTCTGCATTAGGTCTCAACTCGTCAGCTGATGTCAGCTGTCTGCAGTAGGTCTCAACTCGTCAGCTGATGTCAGCTGTCTGTAGTAGAGCTGAAATAAGTATGTCAGTCGTGTCAGATGTCATACGCTAACTCTTCGAGTATGGTGGCAGGCATGTCTTTATTTTGCACGCCTTCTTTATGTTTAATTTGTATTATTTTGATGAGGTTATACGGAAATCATGTTTTAGGTTTATTTTCGGCCGTAGTTACGTGTGTTGGACCGTGGACGTGCATGTGGCCGTAGTCACGTGTAATAGCCGTGCATGTGGCCGTAGTCAAGATCAAATGACGAGTAGTTGACGTTTATTCGTTCATGACAGTGCGAGTTTGTTGACTTTATCTGCTTGATTGTGATTTATCACTGCCATTTATTTTAAACGCTGCCTTTATCTCATTCTCTGCGAGTTTGTATATTTAGTAGCTAGCTTTCCTGCGATATTAAACATTCGATGTATCATTTTTAAAATGACACATGACGTTAACCAAATGACACGTTCTCAAGTTCACTACTTCATTGCATCGAGGCCGAGTGTTTCTACTCTCGAACATATAACTTATTCAGACCGTTTAAATAAATGGTGAATATCTTTTCTAGGATGAAAATCCTTCATTGTGAAAGGGTGTAATTTTATTACTTGCTCAACCAGTTATTTTATGATTGAAATAAATTTACTTTCTTTGCAAAAGTCCTTGCCCTGCTTCGAAGATTTCTCAGCTCTGATCCTAAACGATGAAACGATAAAAGTTAATAAGAGCTATTGTATACTCATATATGGGACTCGCAGTTCTGACAGTTGGGGTTCTGTTCTTAGCATAATGCATTTCTTGGTGTTTTCATGACAAGTTTGACATTCTTCTTTCTGTTACTCGTTTCTAAGCTAAGCTTTCTTGTCGTAGGTTGTTCGTTAACAAACCGACTACGAGTATCGTCCTGAAACACACTATTTCATCGAGTCATGGCAGATTCCCGTAACGGTTACTCACTTGCTTAACGTGTATGTACTTCTCCCGCATCGTGGTCACCTTTCGCCAAAGAGTCAGCTTTCTGCTTCGTCTGCGTCGGCATACCCGACATGCGCCACTGGTCGAGTTCCTGGCGGTCAATAAGTGTCCGTGCAAGCAGACGGCCCTTTTCCTACCGCTGACTCCAAGTGCGATGCAAGGTTTACTTCGCCATCTAATACCAACTTAGAAATTTTTGTGATCGCTCTCTTCTTAGTTATTGTAATACCCCGTGTTTATTTCTCTGACCGTAACGTGTGGATGTAGTCTCCTCATCATCAATGTCTGCAGCGCACGCGTGTCAGGTAAATGTCAAGCGGCAGGGTTGAGCGCCACCTGGCTAATAATATATGTTCAACCTGAACATGAGGACGATGATTCGTTGACTAAGTATGTGAGGGATGAGTTAGACACTTCTCTATATTAAACTTATCATGTTACGGGGTGGTTATACACGATAGTTATTACAGATACAGACGGGTAGATGGTACGACCATTAGGTCGGAGTAGCTGTAACAAGTGCTACATCGCGGCGGTCGAGCTAACTACAGGGTGGACTTCTTAAGGTGTCCAGCCTTTTTATAGACTTCTAGCGTGAAGATCAAAAATCGAAGGCTAACCTGCTAGTTCAGCCTTATTTTTATTGAGTTTTTTGTTACGCGAGTGTCTTACAGGTTCTGTACTATCAAGTGTAAATAAGAAACTCCATTCTCGTATGGTAATAATAAGAATATATTATTTATTCTAATATTCCTGAAAACTACTATTTTTTAGCGGTTAAAGTTGCGTCGCTATTCGACCATCTTTCGAGATGTCAACGCTGTTTCTGCCTCGTAAGAGTCAGGGTGCAGTCCAGTGGATGGTTCTTAACTCAGTAATGGCTCTACAGCTCCAGCCATGTGCAAAACGAGTCTCCAAAGTACTGCAACGTCCTTGGCTCATAGCTCTTAGCAGCTCTCAGGACCCTACAGTTTTGTTGTCGGGATCCAGGGCTTTGCATGCCGAGCATCCTTCTTATGACTGACTCCCATTCAAAATGAGCTACAAAATAATTTAAGTTGCAATAATGTACGATCCTAGTACCTTACCGACCCTGGCATTAATTTCAGCAGCTATCTCAAACAATCGTCAGTTATGGAAAGATCGGGTTCCAAAGGCCGTATCCCTTGTGAAATCAAGTCACGAAAAGTAGAAGAATCGGCTACAGGCCATGGGCATATTTCTTCAGTGCCGAAACTTCTATTCTAATGGAAATATTTCGCTCCTCGTGAGCTCTGAATATTAATTGACCGATACTTCTCACCTCGATGGCAATGATTTCTTTTCTATAGTCAACCGCATCTCGTCTGAAAACAATAAAACGTAGATCCAGCGGTAGGGTGGCTGAGTTGTTGAAGTTCAACTTCAACTCACTCACTGCCCGCCGCGGGCAGTGAGTGAGTTGAAGTTGAACTTCAACTCACTCACTTCAAGAGCACCAAAATTGGAGTAGTGAGTTGATTGCGGTTTGTTTCCAGCTCTTTGTGACAGTTTCGGCAAAGTTCAGCACATCGAGATCTGAGCAGTGAGCTGTATGTTCAAGACTCGCAGCTATATATTAAAATTTTACGGTGTTCAGAATCGGTGATTGGACTGTGGTGACAGATCGATAACAATGATTAGATGTTAGTACTGCGTTCACTCGTAGAGTTAGAGATGTACCGATTTGGTTGGTTGCCGCTTTAGCTTGCATACAAATACAATACAAAAGGAAAATGATAATATGCCCGTTTCACAAACTTATGTAGAACAACGAAAAAGTTTACATAGATTAAAAAGCCAACTTATTTGAGGTATTAGAATGCATTTTGAGAATTGAGATGACATTAAATACTCAGAATTCGGTAAGAAATCTGAAATAAGAATAATCACGCTGTAAGCAAAAGATTACTTGATGATTATTGATTTAGAGACTAAAGAGTTTTTCAACATTATATTTTGATGTCAGCAAAATGAATACATTTTACAAAAAATGCGATTCAAACCTGAATTTTAGTAATCCGTAGCCGGAACGATGACATTGTCATGTGTACAAATTGATGTAAACAAATGATTTTACTGAAGAAATGGGGCTGTTTGATAAACTTGCATTTTCTTTGGGATTGAAAAAACGTGAAGCAAATATTTTAGTTGTTGGTCTTGATAATGCCGGAAAATCAACCGTGCTCAACCATTTTAAGCCAGAGGACCAGAGAACATCTGACGTCGTCCCAACAGTTGGCTATAACGTGGAAAAGTTCAAAAGTAAGTGTCCAGTATTTTAGAAGTTTGAGATGAAAATTTAGAGGTCATCTGACAGGCTGACTGAACCTGACTCTTGTCTGATTTTTTTCAGTTCATTCATTTTACAATTATTCTTATTTTTATTCTTCTTAAAAATTATAATTCATGAAGCATTCCGAGCAGTCGAGCAGAATAATAATAATTAATAATAATAGCAGTTTCGGCGCTTATTAGGCCGTAGGCCTGTTGCCGATTCTTAACATTGCAGAACATTTACAGCATTTTGCGGTCTCAAACTCGCAACTTCAATTCTGCTTTTTTCAAATTTAAGCAAGCAAATTCAATTCTGCTTTTGCTTAACCGCCCGGCCTCCTTGCCGATTCTGGCCAGAAACTGGCGCACAGAGCCGGGATCGAACCCGCGCCTCTCTGCGCTAATCTCTGAACTTTAACCACCATGCCACCCTGGCCCTGCCCAATAGAATAGGCTGCTAGGCAATGAATAGGCTAATCTGTAGGATATTTTGGTGGAAACAGTAAAGTAATGTGGATTGCGGAAGTTGAAAATTTTTAAAAAATGACATGTTTGCAAAGTGCAAAAAACGATTTTTTATATCAAACAAAAATACAGGACAGTAGAGCCACAAGATTTCATATCTACTGAATTTACATGATGTTAGTGCCACGATATTTCAGAAAAAAGTAGGACTTTATCCAACCTGGGCTATGCCGAGGCTAGCAATGTTGCTCTGGCTAGGTATTACAGCTTTGTGCCCCCAATCTCTGCTGCGTCTATGTTGTGGGGGTACCCTGGCCTGCGCGTCAGCCGGATGCCCGGCTTGCTCGCGGACCAGGCCAAATGGCAGAGGCCCCCCCCGCCCGGATCGCTACCAGACGGAGGCTCCTTCATCATTTTTTTGACCAAGGGTCGGGGTACCTTGGCCTTCCCTTCCCCCTACCCACTTCTTTGGCCGCCTATCTCTCCTGTGGCACACTATGCCCTTCTCACCTCTCACCTTATAGAAATGGAATCACGGCTGGCAAATCCATAAAACCACGGCTCAAAAAATTCAGTCGCGGCTCGCCAAGTAGATATATTCCATACTAGAGTAGAGCCACAAGATTTCATATCTACTGAATTTACATGAATTCTAACCTAACCTTAACCTTAAAATTCTAACCTTAATTTAGAGCACCTCTGAGGCTCTAAAGATCCTAGAAACTTGAAATTTGGCATGCATGCTTATTCTGCCTAACAATTCAAGATTTGATCATCAGAAGTAACAAGTTTGTACCTAGTTAAAAATTGTTAAATTAAATAACTGACTTTTGTATGGATTGGAAAAATTCATGCTTGGGAATCAGTTTTTTTTTTTGGTTAAAACAACCAGAGTTGCCAACCCTGGAAAATGATTTAAATTGCAAATAACTGTTACCATTAGGTAGTTCTTAAAATGGTTTGTGTCATTGCAAAACTGTTTTAAGCCAAAAAATTGATAAATAAATATAAAAAACATTTTTGAAAACACGTTTTTCTGGTGGTTACAAAACTAAAAACAATGAAATAAAACAAATAAAAAAAACTTTTAAAAACCACATTTTCTTGATGGACAAAAGAGAAACATCAACTTTTTCAGTGAGTTGTCCTAAATTTTATTCCTGACCTAAAATGAAGTCTAAAGTTTATTTTTTCAAATCTTTTGCTGAGAAAAAAACATGGGGCAGGCACTGTGAAGATCTAAATATCATATATTTTGAGGAGCTACAGATTAAGTACCTATTATGAATAGAACTTGGGTAATGGATGTGTCTTAAAGCCCACCCGATGTTTTTTGTGATTTCTCAGCATAAGATTTGAAAAAAATAAACTTTAGACTTCATTTTAGGTCAAGAATAAAATTTAGGACAACTCACTGAAAAAGTTGATGTTTCTTTTTTGTCTGTTAAGAAAACGTGGTTTTTAAAAGTTTTTTATTTGTTTTATTTGATTTCCCAATTTTTTCAATAAAAAATAAGAAAAATGTCCTAAATTCTCTTGCAATATTCTAAAGTCACCCTTGTGGAGTCATGGTGAAAAGAGTGAGTGAAGATCTGATCATCTGAAGATCTTTGGCAATGCATTAGCAGTAAAATTCACTTCTTCTCAAGATCTTGCCAGCACATGTAAGAGAGTTCAAATCTTTGGCAACCATTCATGTAGAAGCAGAGCAAAAGTATGTATAGCAATGGCTTCACTATGATTGTTAAATAACAAAATGTGATTGACATGATAACATATTGGAGAGTATCTCATCATTTTGTATGGTATTTAACATTTTGCTGGTATTATTAAAATGTTGACCTCTTCTAAAAAATTAACATTTATTTCTTATTTAGAACATATTAATTGTAAAACTTGTTCAGTTAGAGAGAAACAACTTGTGAAGATGCTTAGTTTATAATTTGATAGAGATCAACATGCAGGCAGTAATTCTGGCTAATAAATAAGCCTCTCATGTGCTCAGTGTACTTTTTGGCATAGCAGAGGGAGGTGCAATGTAGGAGGCTTCCTGTATAGATATATATTACCTATCCAAAATTCTACACTGCCATAGCGCTTATGTTGCCAGCCTTAAAAAATGTTTTGTTAACAAAATTTTGCAACAACTTTCTAGTGCATGTGGAGGAGCTTCTTTGCTATTATGTACCTAGCAATCAAACAACAAAACTAACTCTTCTATCAATAAGTGTATTTCTGTCCAGTAAAGGTTAAGTCTAGGAGACTAGAAAGTGTCTTCATTTCTGTTATGCATTTTGAAAAGAAAAATATTTTGAAGCATGAACCCTAATTGCCCCCTTTGTCTCATGCTACAACCTTGTGCCTAATGATTTCTGTCCTCCATACTGTTAAGCAGGGTTGGCAATGATTAAATCAAAATGATTAAATCATGTGATTAAATCACTTGATTTTTTTATAAAAAAATCATGATTTTTTTGATTTTTT